TCAGCTGAAGAGTTTTTAAAAGGGGGAAAGCTTCCTGTCCTCACTGTCCGGTCAGCTGGTCATGCACTGCATATCTTTGTCAACGGACAGCTCTCAGGTATGTTGCATATCCATGGTTCTTCTATTTATGTACTCTTAATTCGGCAAAGCTTTAGTTAGCAAGAGGCTGAATTTTAAGTATGCTTTGGCAGGTTCTGCATATGGAACCAGGGAAAATAAGAGAATCAAATTTTCTGGAAACATCAATCTTCGTGCTGGAACTAATAGAATTGCCCTGTTAAGTGTGGCTGTTGGACTGCCAGTAAGTTTGCCATTTCTTTTCAGTCTGAACCGGTTTGCATAGTGAATAGAATTGCCCTGTTAACACTGAATTTTCAAATTTCTTTGCCTCTATTACTGCGGTGAAGAATTCTGGGGTGCATTATGAGTTGTGGAGCACTGGAGTCCTGGGTCCTGTTGTGCTACATGAGCTTGATGAAGGAAGTAGAGACTTAACATGGCAGACATGGTCATATCAGGTAATTTTGCTTTGCTGACCTTGTTATCTGTTACAGTGTGGTAGATTTCAGTGCAGCAGAAGTGGTATCTTTTTCATTCTTCTTCTTTGTGTAGGTTGGTCTAAAAGGAGAAGATATGAACCTAAATTCTTTGGAAGGTGCTTCTTCTGTTGAATGGATGCAAGGTTCATTAGTACAAAATCAGCAGCCATTAACATGGTATAGGGTAGGTACACAGACCTGTCTATAATGTTATTTTCTTGATAATCTCAGCTTTACCCACTAGACTTGTCTTTTCAGGCATATTTTGATGCTCCTGATGGAGATGAGCCATTGGCTTTGGATATGGCCAGCATGGGGAAGGGTCATGTGTGGATAAATGGACAAAGCATTGGAAGATACTGGACTGCGTATGCGCCGAAAGAGAATTGCAAGTCATGCAGTTACACAGGGACATATCGATCACCTAAGTGTCAGAGTGGTTGTGGCCAACCGACCCAGCGATGGTAACTTTGGCATGAAAAACATTCTTTTCCTTTTTGTATTTTTAACTTAATAATTACATTTTGTATAATCCCATTAAACTAATATAAAGCCAACTTGAACAAGTTATTGACTCTGAAATCCTTTGATAGAGGGACCTCATACAGTTGAATTCCTCCTGTTTTAGTATGACTTAGCAACATCATATCCAGTGTTAGCAAGACTTGGCAATGTTTTTTTGGTTGTATAAATTCAAAACTACTTGTGTGCCTGTAATTATTAAAGATAATTGCAACAACTGCTCAATCTCAAGGATGCTACATTTGGTGCAAAGAAACAATTGTGGCTATTACTGTTAATCTGAAATATCTATCTAACAAATGCCTGGTAACTCTGCCACCATTTTTTTTACTTTATTGATGACTGGATAGCAGACTTTTAAGGAATAAAATATATGTTTAACGTTGCAGTTAATGGGACTAAAGTAGGATATGTGCTGATGAATTTGGAAATAGTGTACCGTTGAGCTAATTGTTAGATATTCAGGTACCATGTGCCACGTTCCTGGTTACAACCAACAAGAAATCTACTAGTAGTATTTGAGGAACTTGGAGGTGATGCAACAAAGATTGCATTAATGATGAGATCTGTTTCTAGTGTTTGTGCTGATGTTTCTGAGTGGCATCCCACAATAAAAAATTGGCACATCGAGAGCTATGGAGAGCCTGAAGAATACCGCAAGCCAAAGGTCCATCTGCGATGTGCGCCGGGACAATCTATATCGGCCATCAAATTTGCTAGCTATGGGACACCCCTCGGAACTTGTGGAAATTTTCAACAGGGAGCATGCCATTCGCCAAATTCCCACACCATCCTGGAGAAGGTTACCACACTTCTAATTTATCTTACTCTGTTCTTCAATACACATATTTTTCTATGTTGCTATTTATGAGTTCTTTCTTCTATGAAATTATAGTTACAAGACAATGAATAGATATGGCACGGGCAAAGCGTCTGTGCCCACAAAATGTGTGTCTGATTAAAATCCACTGCAAATTGATGCGTAGGCAGCGTTAGTTGCTGCATGCGGAGACTGGCCCATGCATTTGTATCATATAGTTTCTAATAGGGGATGAGGGAGAATCCATATATGTGTATGATCTAATATGCATATTCCTTCAACATGCATCTACTTTTGACATATATTCCCTTGTATGTCAAAACCTTGCAAAGAATAATTACATCAATGCATATTTCATTTTTAAATTTATTGTTTACCGATAAGGTAAAATTTGACTCCTTGTTACATTTAAACAGAAGTGTATCGGAAAGGAGAAATGTGTGGTTGCCATCTCCCAGGCAAACTTTGGCGGTGACCCATGTCCGAATGTGATGAAAAAAGTTGCAGTAGAAGCTGTATGTTCTTCAGCTGTTCAGCCGATAACCTGAGCTTTGCAAATCGCATTGGCCAGAACAACTCGGCATAATTGTAAAGTGCTGGTGTCGATCGAATATAGTCGTTTGTATCGTGTGGTAGTTGCATTTAGAAGGAAAAGATAGTATGTCAGTGTGTGCATTTGCTCATTCAAGTTTTCTCTTTAAATTCTGAGATATTCGCACTGGTCTACCAACGCATAATCCGAAGTTGGTGCCAGAATGGATAGCATCAGGAAAGCAGAGTAAAACAATCACTTATTTGCTTTCTTAGATGTCTTGTTCTTAATTTCTTCACATTAGTTATCGAAGTAAGGTGTCATTTGATATGGCTGAATGTAGTGCTGTTGTCATTGCAAATGTGCCATCTGATGCCATTCTTCTTGTCAGGAAATTTGATTTCATTTGAAAATTGCAGCTGAAGAAAATATGTTTAAGGTATTCTTTTTTCAGCTATTAATACGATTTGCCGAATGTCGAGTTTTTCAAAGGTTTCTAGATGATTTTCTTGCGTCCTTTGATGATTTTACTCACTGTCACTATACCCAAAAGTTGGGGTCTCTTAATGTTATATACATCAAAGATCTTAAACCTATTGTGTTTTCCAATGTGATCCACAAAATTCTCACCAAAGTTATTACTAATTATCAAAGATTTTAGACCTATTGTGTTTTGCAATGTGATCCACAGAATTCTCACCAAAGTTATTACTAATTATCCTAGATAAATCCAACATCTGTTTCCCTTCCTGCTGCAATCCAAGTACAAAGTATTAGATTTGCAACAGTTTGGGCATCAAGGAAGGATGCTGGCCTGTTAAATACTTTGAGACTTTCCTTTCTGAAGGTCTGTTGCAAGATAGATAGATAGATAGATAGATAGATAGATTGATAGATAGATAGATAGATAGATATCAAAGAAAATCCATCCAAAGGTGGCACAAATGCTTGCTATCCCAAACTGCCAAGCTGGTGCTTATAAACTCAAATCATAAATTCACTCCCAACTCACATTCTACTTGGTTCCTGAATATTTGACAAGCTCATTTCCAAATTCTCTAAGCTATCTGAGGACCTTTTCATGAAGGATGGGCAAAAAAGCAAGATGCAATCTTATCAGTTGGTCCATCATGACTTTACCTAAAGAGCAGGGAGGCTTGGGTGGGTAAATGGGACCTCCTTGTGGTCAAGAAAGCCATCTGTGCAAAGCACATCATTCCTATGACACCCTTTGGTAAAAGGTTTTCTGACCAAATATGGTCATCTCCATCCATGGTCATCACTCCCCTCCCATGCCTACAAATCTATCTGCAACCTAAAAGACAATATGAAAGATTACTTTCATAAGATTGCTCCCAAGATCAAAGTATTTTCGTGAAAACTTTCTTGGAACCACTTGTCTACTTCTAGCTACATTTCTAGTATCATACACAACCAGCAGGATTCTTGATTCCTCTTCCTGCATTCTGCTGGAATGTCAATTTGCATAGGATTACTGGGCTGCATTGCAACAGCACCTTCACCTCAGATTCAGTTTCCTTTCTTCTTGGTTCCAAGGAACCTGGATCGAGGAAGGCTCCTCCTCACTCGATAACCAATTCCGGGACAAGCGTCGTTGTACCATTTCCACATCCTTTTGGTTCCTGGATTGACTCTTTGTCCATAGTCAATTGGCTTCTGAGATCTACTTTCTGTGATTTTTTTGTTCCTTGTTGATAAATTGCAAGTGGTGAATGTGTCTCACCTGCCAAGGTCTGCAAATGCTGCTGTGAGCCACTCTGCTGCTGCTGCTGCTTATGGCAGAGCTCACACATCCTTCTTGTTAGCTGCGGATGATCTGCATGTTACACTTTTGTTTTAAATCAATATAATTGTTTCCCTTTTGATCAAAAAAAATAATACAATAGCAGGTCCTCAAGAACATCCAGGAAGTTCTAGTAGTTCATTATTGTTATCGTGTGTCGGCACAGTGGAGCAGAGACTGGGATCGTGTACAGTGATGCTGGATCTTGTCCCATCGATCACACTGCACAGCACAATAAGGTGTGGGCCAAACTGGCGCACAGTGATGATGTCTGCTGTCATCTTGTTCAAGCTGTTCATTGGATGGATTGTCTTGTGAAGTCATGTGACAATGATTGAACCTTTTCTCTGCAAGGTTGCCTCCTCCTTGACATGATGAGGAAGGCTAGGCTTGTCATGTCTTCATCCTCTGAGGATATCATTTTGTTTTACTGCCGCAGGTTGCAGGCATTGTGTGTGTGGGGGGGTGAATTCGACTCTCGGGACAATATAATGATCTAATGATTATTTCATTTCAGCTCGAGGAAAAGTCAATGATAATGAGACAGATTTAAGTTATTTCAGAGCATGAGAACTGTATCAAATAGGAGGGATGACACTTCTCCCAATGTTTCTTGCGGTCAAATATTCCATCAACATTCTTACAATTGAAAGTATTAAGATTACAAAACCATAGATCATATTTGGAACAATTCAAGTTTCATTCGGGGATTGTTAAGAATATAAAATCATAAATCATGATTTAAGCTTTTAGATGGCAAGACAGCGACAAGAAATTCAAAAGAAAGTCATGCAAATAGTATACAATATAGATTAAACTTAATTGGTAGTAACATTACATGTTCTGAGATTACACAAAAATATGCTTCTATCTTTACAACATGCTACCCTATAATTCCACCAAATAGCCACCTCTTTATGTTATACATTGTATACCATGCTAAAACCACTTCTTCTGTATAATTGCAAGCAATGCTTAAAGGGCATCTCAGAACAAATTATTCTGGTTCAGAGATTCAGATATAGCAATCACAACCGAAGTAAATAAATCTAAGCAACAAAATCATGCAGCAAATGTGTTGACCCGAGTCGGTGTCGCCGATCTCCCATGTTTGCATAATCATAATCGGCCGTATCAGGCCCAACTGGAGCAGCTGTGCCATAAACATCATTCGCTCTCGCTGCGAGAAATCTCTGCTGATCGTCTGATGCAGGATGGCCGACATCACACTGTTGCAGCCCCAGTGTGAGAGACACTCCGCTGTTTCCGTAGCGACCCAACTCAGCCATCTGATAAGCCAAAAACCTCCCACTCCCGTCTTGGTGGGCAAGAGCATCTTGTAAGAAGCTGGAATCTACTCCGACTGGTCTTTGGTCACTAATTTTCAGATTCATATATGAATCTTGCGCAGTCTCTTCGTTCTGGAAAGCAGCAACTGATTCGGCCACATCCATAGCTGGGATGACATTAGGTCTTGAGGAGTTGCTTATCTGGCTTGTTTGGCATCTTCCGGTTGCAGGGTTTTGCATGTCGTCATGGTCCTCAGAGGACTGAATGTCTTCCTTAAGTCTTGGTGGATTTTCTGAGGAAGAGTTCGAGTCAATCTCGGTATCACCAAACTCTTCTTTGTACATGTCTTCGATCATAGGCTTCCAAAGACGAACTCGTGCGTTTATGAACCAGTTTGATACCTGAATGAAAGGAGACCAAATCATGAAAAAAATACTAAGTTCAATTCAAAACATATACACTACGACTGCCCTTTTTCTCTGACGCAGCCTGATGTGAGCCAGGAATTTACTTACTATATGTCTTGATTCGTCAGTCATACAAACTAATACATTTGAGCAAACTAGACTGTTTGATGAGGAGACCCAAGTGGAATCAGGAATAAGTCTAACTAATGATGTGCACACATTTACAAACCAAAAAGATTGCTCATAGCACACCAGTACATTATCAGTTCTCAAGCACAAGGATGTTAGTTCATCAGGAAGAATATACAGATACGATCCAAGAAACAATTCCTTCCTGGTAAAAGAATCGAGAGGAAGTGGACATAAGATGACGTGAGAGAGGAAAGAGATAAATTACTGGAAAAAGACATTAAAGTAATCATAACAGTGGCTTTTCAGACGAAAAAAATTATAGTTAGATTGTCAGTTAAGCAATGCATTCCTAACGACATTAGCATTAAAAGAAGAACTATCCAAAGAACACAAGAGAGGTACTTAAGTTAAATCAAGTATACCTGACTTCTTGACAAGCCTGTCTGTCTTGCAAGCATTAGCTTTTCGGAATCCTTTGGGTAGCTGGCAAAACATATTATAATGTAACTGTTAGTATTTGTATATATTTATTGTAGTTTTAAAACAACCAGGTGAAAAAGAAGGTAGTTGGGCTTACGGATTAAGGAAGTGCTCAAACAGCCAAGCACGAAGAATCAAGACAGATGACTCAGGCAAGCCCCTCTGTGGCCTCCAGGTATGCTGTTGCATCATACCAAATTGCTGCATGGCTCTCTGTTGCCTTAATTGCTGATCTATGTACCGAAGGCGAGATAACCCACCACCCTTGCCACTTGTGTTGTCTGGCTCTCCAAGATTCTTCCTTATAGCTTGAATTTGGCCACTGATTGCATCTCTCAAGCAGCGAAAATGCCGAGAAATGGTTTGAAGGGCAAGCGCAGTGTATGGCTTTGCAGCCCCACAACCAGCTATCGCATCAAAACATGACACTATTATCTGCATTTGATGGTAATACTGTTTGTACCTTCTATCAACCTGCAGTGAAAAAGAAATGATAACGAATTTGTCAAAATTGCTCTACAAGAGTATATTCCATTAATACAAATGATTGCACAATGCTGTTATTGTCAATACACTTCTACTCAGCAAGTGCAAGCCTTTTCGGAAACTTATATCAAGAAATTTTAGTTTGTAATGTTACAGATGTAAATAGAAGGAAAACGATCATAGCAGTCTTACATTTCCGCAGAGTGCCAGTTTCTCATACAACACCATAGGCACAAACCCTTTCCATAATTAGGCACAAACACTGTGTCTCTTATGCTTCATAAATTTGACTTAGGCGCATCTAACCTTATAGCTAAACCATGAGATCCCATTGCATATTTATTTGCACTCTTCTATCTTTATTCCATGTGAAAACTTCACAAATAAGGATTGCTTATAAACCATAGAAAAGAATCAACCTTCAAAAGGGCTGCCATGACTTTCCAGATGATAATCATGCATGGCAGTATCAAACTAAGCCACCGAACTTCAAAAAGATTATGCCAAGGAAGAAACTTCTGAAATGTTTAATAGGGAAATTTTACAGGTAGCAAAGAACTACAGAACCAGTATGACATTTTTCTTTCAGCCATAGTGCATTTCTCGAGGCACTCACTCAGTTGCCATTCTCTTCCACCATTACCTGCCTAGTTACCACGATTTTTCGGATAAATCTCTTGTTTTCCTCCTGTCAAAATCCTGCTTTTTCTGACCTCAAGCATCACGATTCTTTGTTCACTCACTTGTAAATCTGTGAACATGCACTGTCTCTTTCCATCAAAGATAACAAGATGGTTCCTTCAAACATTATAATCAACATGACTTGTTTTCTGCTAGGCCATCAGTATTTGAAGCCTCAACCTCAAAAGATTTTACTGCTACTCTCAATAAAAAATTTCTAACTTCAAATAAAATTTATTAACATGATCCTACATTAAATGAAATTCTAAGTATGAAAACAAGGATGACAGCAAATTAATGAAAAAGATAGAGATAAGGATATAGTGTACCTCATCCAACATCCCTAATAGCTTTGAGACCTTGTTCTGAAGGTCCTGCCTTTCAGAAGGTGAGAGCTCATTAGAATAATTAACGGTGGCTTCTTGAGGGTTTGAAGCCATCCCTTCACTCTTCGATTCCCCACTACCATCCTTACATGTAAGAGCACCATCGGCAGAAGGGTGACTTTGGCTTTTATCTGCTCTTTGCTTCAAAGCACTCCCAACGTTAACAACTTCATCAAGCAATTCCTGTGCTATCCTGAGATATTTAGAATTTGGAATATGAGACTGTCTGTAAGGGGAGACATTGCCATGAAAACTTCTGTTTTGAAAGTGTTCCTCCCTCAACAGACCAATATTTCCAGAAGTTGACTGATGGCAACCCATGAAAGAGATACCCGAGCTAGTTGGTTGGTACTGAATTGAAGGAACCGGCATATGTGTGCTAAGGCTGAGTGATAAACCTTGATTTTGCATGATTGGAACATTTGACTGCTGCAAAGACAAGTTTTGTCCATTTATGATGCCCAACTGAGTCCGCATACTCGTCTGAGGGTCATCAGTATGAAGTAGATCATCTGCACCATTCATGGTACCATCAACTGTCTGCATAAATAACATCTCATTTCTTCCATCCTTCCAAGCATTATAACCATGGCTGCCAAGATGCGAAGTGATCATGTCAGAATTCCCTACAGTCAAGCCTGGTGAGATGTCAGAAGTGGCACCGGGAAGTTCAATGTGATTCTGCTGGGTTTTAGTAACACCAGCAACTGCATCTGTATACTGACCAGAATTCAAGAAGCTCAGGTACATCATGTTGCCAGGACCTGGTGATTCAGAATATGGAGCATGCCCTGGATCCCTCAGGCCAAGATTTGGAGTGCTTCCACTGTGGTCATTAGACATTGAATAGAAAGTAGACATCTTTATCTTCCTTGATCTTAAACAGGGCAAGATCTTCAAAGACAGAAGTCTGATGGATCATTGCAATATTTTGTGTGAAAAAATGGCAGTTATCTTAGTCATGGGAACCTGGATGAACCCGACACTAAAAGTTCAAGCCCATGGTGAAGAATGAATTATGTCACAACAGTTCTGAATACAGTAAAGAGGAAGAGCTGATTAAAGATCAACTGCAAACAGAGAAAAAAATTAATGAATCATAAATGATCAGAAAAAAAAGTTCTAACAGAAAATTCATTTAATGAACATGACTAAAAGTAACTTCTGAGCTGCAGATCATTTATATTTTGTTAAAACTTGTATCATTCCTCAGATTGAAATTAATCATTTTGCAAAATTTAACTGAAGAACAAACAAAGACCAACACAGACACAAATAGAAAGGATAAATAAATGGAGCTCAAGATCTGTTTGCTTAGTTGATAAAAGGAGTAGCCAGAAACCAATTAAGGAAGACATAATCTCTTAATCAATCAGGACATTCAATCAACCCGAACCCCGTTTCTCTCATTTTAAGGCTACATGTTTGCACAATGGCCAAAGGGTTAGGAGGAAACTAACAAAAGTACATGATACAAATTCGGTTGGGTTCTCGAGCTCCATGAACTAAAAGAACAATTGATATATGACAGCAAAAGGGACAATAAGAAGTAGAAAATCTTTGAAAGGACCCAAATGATTGGTCTCTTTTAACCCTTTAAGCATGGATGAGCAAAAGGTCTTTGGTCCAGATACCAGAGGAAAAACCCCAGATGCACCATATAAAGCCAAAACCCACCACCAAGAAATCCAGAATATGTACCCTTTACCCTAGCCAACGCAAAATAAATGTCAAATCTGCATAATTTACAAAATCAAGAAAAACAACAAGAAAGAGAGAAACATAAAATAAAGGAACCTTTACCCAAACATCAGATTTTGATAAAGAGGGAGCAAAGAGCATGAGAAAACTCATCAGACAGATGAAAGAGAAGTATAATACCCAAGAACAACAAAATCCGCTTAAAAATAATCTGTTGCACAAACAAAGAAAACTAGTAAATGAAGGAGAACGGTTCTCAAAACAGTAGATTTCTTAGATTGAAAAAAAATTAAAATAGTGAAGCTAACATCCAAAATTCTTAAACTAAAAACTAGATGGAGAGATAGAGACGGAAGGACAAAGAGAGGGAGCCAGGCAGGAAGAAGCAACTGAAATGATATGGATGTTGATTTGAAGAAGCAAATATGATGCATATACATACAAAATCGAGACGTCCTTGTTGAAAGAAGAAAGACATGGATAGGGAGATGAAGAAAGATGGGAGACAAGTAAAAAATCAAAGTCTAGTACCTGAGATAGAGAGGGGGAGGGCGCGAAAGGAAGAAGGGAAGGGCGGCGGCCGCTGCTGTCTGCGCGCCTCGTGGGGGACAAGAAAGCATGAACCCACAGCCGATCGGCCGAGGAGAATCCTACCAATTCGGAGACAAACCGATCCCGAGACCTCAATTCCAAAGACAAAGCTCTCCCCCCTTCCTCTCCTCCCCTTATAATATATCTATTTAATACTGCCTCACCACCTTCTTCAGCATATCCAACTATATTAAAATGACAACCAGTTTGCAAGTCCCGTCTTTCTCTCTCTCATCAGAGCTCAAAATTGCATCTTGCACGTGAGAGTATTTCTCCCTCTTCCTAATCCATGATAAATGACGAATCTTTCTATCTCTTCTCCCTCCTTTCTCCCTCTTTCTATCTTCCTCTATCTCTTTATCTGCAAGTCTTCAAAGGAGGTTCCTTGCTGTGGCTTCTTGGGAGTTGGTGATGAGGATGGTTAAGGTGTTCAATCTCCTAACCACCAGTTGGTAGACCTAAACTTCCTCTTAATTCTCTCAAGCACCAATTTGCCCACCTCTTTGATCTCTCCTCTTCTCATTCCTCCTTTCCTGCAGTATCCTGCGTTCCTAAGCATGGGGAAGATGCTGACATCTCACAGCCCAGACCACACAAAAAATATAAAGCTACTTTACTCTAACCATCCCTTTTAGTAAATGGTGCGCCAATTGCTTCATCTAGAATAATGACACCCTTGGGGTTGATGGCTAAGCTCGTGTGGGGCTCCCCACCACTGTAATCAAACCTTGTCCTGCTCCTCTTTGTTGCATGTGTGGGGCTGTGGCATGTCTTGGTGACAATGCCCTCCCCTCCCCTCCCTTCCATTCCTTTCATCTTGTTTGTTTAGGATCTCTCTCTCTCTCTCTCTCTCTCTCTCTTTCTCTCTCTCTCTCTCTCTGAATGCCTGCAGTGGACCATGCTGACTGCACCTGCCTCCCTCATTAGTCTTTTAGTACTCCTGTGAGTGCAATTCTGGCAGCTCATCATTGGCAGCATTAGGTGATGAATTGGAACCGTGTCGCGCTCTGATTGGCCAAATCACATTATTTGAATGTCTCATCTGAGCTAAACATAAAGAAATCAAACGAGTGATGATTATTTTAACCTGTGACCGTATAATCATGATCTAGATTTTGCACATAATCCAACCATGAGACATGAACAGAAACTCACAGTATAAACTCCAGCAAATGCAAAATGGATGATGAATGAGACAAAACAGAGTATGCTTAAACAAGTGTAAATGATATATTATAGGAAATGACTGTACCTTATGATATCATCGAAGAGAAGAATGAGAAGCATAAGACTAAACAATTTTTTGTTGGAGTATGCTTAAACAAGTGTAAATGATTGATAGAATCTATTGGGAGAGTCGAAGGCAATCGATGTGCAGATATTGTTCTCAATCTTTTTCTCTTGTGTCCTACAGTTGAAGAGAAGCATGCTTCCAGTTGCAGACATTAAAAAAGCTCCATAAGACAAATCCCAACATTGATTTAGTTCAGGCTGTTCTAATGATCAAGCATTAATAAGCTTAAGATACAGAATAAAGAACATCTCCAAGTCTTTCTTTTTCTCATATATTTATAAGAATTCAACTGCTCATCTAATATATTATCATGTGTCCAAATATATCAGTTTTGGAACAATCTCTTTGAGGGACTGTACCACAGTATTCAAGCATAATAATCTTTGCATATAACTCCATAAATATAAACCACCAGAAAACGGAGAAGGCCTAATGGTTCACTTATAAACATCATCATCCAAATGTAAATTGTTCTTCACCAAGATTATTGTTATCAGGATCTATTGACATGAGGGTCACATATCATCTACCACAGGTTTTCTCAGGAAGTGATGCCTTTGGCCAATAAGAATCTGTTTGATTCTTTCTGCCATAGTTGTTACTGGTTCATGCTACTTGGGGAGATCCATCCATCAAAGGAGCGAGGCCAAAGAGAAGTATTCTGTCCTTCACAAGTACCTGCATGAAGGGATTCCGGAGCGAGAGAAAGCTTCATTTGAGATGACTTTTGAGAGTCCCTCACAATGTACTGGAGGAATTAGAAAGGTTGTTCACAAAGCCACCTAAAGAGGCATCTGATGGCCTGCATTGAACAGATGGACAAGCTTGATGCTCGCAGCAGTTCACTGGCAAGAAAGCAGGGTCAAGAAAGAGTATTTATATCCCAATAATATGAGGAAAAGGACAACAGCAGGACCACAAGTGATACATCAGGAATCACTAGGAACAGTAAACAGCTCATGAGCTATGCACATTTGCAGCTCCAAGAAGAGCAAATGGCCGCAAGAACAGTGGTCACACAATTCACATGCATTGTACAAAATGAAAGCCATGTGGGAGCACAGCATGTGGCACTCGAACAGCCTTTGGAAATGACCCAATCATGAAATGTACCGAGAAGAGGCTCAGTGTGCCAAACCTAACTTGTATTTTTCCTCTATTTTTGAAATATATTATGACTCTTGTTGGTGTAAACAACCTTGTGCCGTGGCCTCGGGGCCGACGTGACTCGTTTCGAGACGGAATGACGGGGATCTTTGCTCGAGGTCTCTCGGGGTTGCTGGAGTGGCCGAGTGCGCGGACCATATCACATCTGGGTTCGTCGGGATGTCCCGTGGGGAAGGCTTCCTCTCCTTGGCATCCCGGGAAAATAGCTTCGTCCTCCTATCTGCACACAAGTCGGGTGGGAAGCTCGGCCCGACCCCTCCGACGATCGATGTGGAATGGAGTGGTTCCCCCTCTCCTTAAGGGCGGGGTTATTTATAGGGTTGATTTACTGTGTCTGATGCGACTGCTTGCAGGGAGCAGGTTGTGTCTAACACTGGTGTTGGCGTGGCGTGAAGAATAGAGTCTGGACGGGTCGTTAATGGGCCTCGGTCTGTGTTCTGGTTCGTTTGACCAGGTTCGACCGGGTCGTTTGAGGTGTGAGGTGTCGTCCGGGACAGCTAACGTCTGCGTGGGTCTTGTCACAATTTATTATCCTCATCAACTCCAAAAGCTAATTTCTGGCTTAGAAAAGAGGCAGTGTAATTACAACCTTAGTTTAGCAAACTGCTTCATAAGCTTCTATCAAGGAGGAATGCCTATTTAAGAGACTCTACTTATTCCACCACCTAATTCTTCCATGAGAGTTGGAGACCTTGCGAGGTCATTTCTTTAAGCATGCATGACTTGATCTGTACATCAAAGTAAAGTCTTTTAACTTGATTAGAACATGATTCTTTTCACTCTTCTTTCTTTGTGTCCTCACTTTGACTGTACCTCTGTCCATAAGATCCCAGAAAAGCTAACATAAAATTGAGGAGAATAATGTCAGATTATACATTTATATATATATATATATGGTTGACAGGTGGAGAAAATGATACGGCACGCAATTCGTGGAAGCAGTCCGGGCCAAATTCGTATCCTTCACACGTGTGGGGACCGTCGTCCACTTGCGTCGGAATCGAGCCAACGCAGCGTCCCGTGGCAGGCAGCGTGGGCGACCCACCGGTCTGCTGTCGCTTCAATGGTGCGAGCACGTGGCTTGGGGCTCGGGAGGGGAAGATTTCGCCGTCTCCCTCCAGCCAGGATCCGCGGATCCTGCTCTTCCTCGACGAGGCCGCTTCCTCCATGGGGGGCCGATGCAATTCTGTGTTCCCTGTGTGGAATCGGACATCGGGCCATAAGAGGGCCGAGAGTGGTCGGCCCGCGGTGGGGCCCGGTGGGCCACCGTTTTTGTCGGCTTGCGACGAGAGGCGGAAGACAACAAGGAAGGCTTTTGGAATCTTCCTCCTCCGGGCCCACCTACCGAGAGAGGCATTCATTGGCTGACCCCAGCGCAGCGGGTCCCACGGCCTACTTTTAACCTGGTCTGATGTGATGCCGTCCTCCCAAGCTTCGATTGCTTTAGGAATCAAACAAAGGTGGGTGGGGGGGGGGGGTAGCAACAGAGAAGCTTTCCTTGGGGACGACAACATGCACTTGCTCTTCCGTTCCACACCAACTTTATCTGTATGAATAAGATCACGTACACGATAGTCTCGTGGTTATCTTGAATAAGAGCATTAATTTTATTTTCCTTTTTGTAGTCATCTTATTTGACTTAGTCTCGTGGTAATCTTCTCTCTGTATCTTGTTTGAATGGGTTTTCTTGAGCTTGGCTAGATTACAAGCAAGTGATCCCCCCATCATGGTGGCGTTTTTCTCAAGTATATCTTCTTCGCAAGCATCATCCTTATCTGTTGGTGCATCGTAGTCTAGGGAATTATATATATATATAGTTCTTCTTCATCGCTGGATGTGAGATCCAATACCATGCATCTGTTCAACGTGAAAAACAAGTTCTAGTCGGGACTCAACATGTTCCATATTTACTTCAACCAAAACCTATTAGTAGTCAATCCGAAGCCCGCAAAAACATGATCTCGTTTGCTTCACAAATTGTAGGACTTAGAGTTCTAACTCTAATGCTAGTTTAAGGAACACTGTGCTTCACAATTATGCTACTGCTATTACAATTAGTAATATAATAACAGGAGATTTGATGGGATTGATAAAGACGACAGTAACAACAGCAATGATGGTGATGATGATGGTAGTGCAATCTCTATCCCTCTATGCTATGTCGAATAGAAGTTAAGCCGGGAATTAACATATAATGATCATCTCCAAGTGACATCCTAACCCCGTTTTACTGTTCGTTTCAAGCAATCGACAGCTTAGCTCCTCGCTTAATCTTATTGTGACCGGAGACCGCTATAGTTGAAGCAGTCAGAGAGGAGGTTGTCTTTGAATAGTGTTTGTGATAATGCTGCTGATGCAGAAGAAGACCAGCTTGGTTGGTAGTATATAAATTTGCTTCCTTCGTGTTCCGTGAGGAGCTCAAACAAGTTTTTGACCAAGCAATCTCAAAGCTGAACCCCGAGAACAAGGCCTATAAATATCACGTTAGGAGAAGAAGACATGACAAGACAAGCTAAAATCCGAGAAAGATGGATCAGTGCACAGGTACGTGAGAGAGATGCATGCTCATGTTTGTTTCTGTAAGATTGGCTAGCTGATGAATGCTTTTCGTGTGACAAAACGCAGGGAAGAGCTCGTGGCCGGAGCTGGTGGGAGTGAAGGGAGAGACGGCGGTGACGACGATCGAGTCTGAGAATCCGACCGTCAAAGCTGTCATCGTCGAGGTTGGAACGATAGTTACTGGTGATTTCCTTTGCGACAGGGTGCGGGTTTGGGTTGACAAGGCTGGAATCGTCGCGGAGATTCCTCGTATTGGGTAGATGATGACAAATATGTATGGATATGTATTGGATTCTTAAATAATGGTGGCAGATGTCATTGTGCCACCAACATGAATAAAAGTTAATGGGCTCGATCGCAATTGTTCGTAGTTTGAAGTTTGTGTCGTTTATCGTTTTCATCAATTAAAGGCTAAATTTGCGTCGTTTAGCGTTTCGTAACCAACATGCTTTGAATGCGTGCGTAGACTTGATCGAAACCTTCAAGATTTGCAGTTCTGCAGAGAGATTGAGCCCGAAAAATAATGTAATTCTTGAAATGATGATCACTTGGGGAGACAAATGGCAAGCAGATCTATCTATCTATCTTTTCTGCAGAATTCTGTAGAAGTTGACCTCGCTAAGAGCAGGCAAGAGAAGACAAGATCTCAACAACTCTCAGCAGCTGTGTTCCTTCCTACCTAAACAATTTGGCGTAGCTTCGTACTTGTCCACGTTGCATGTCCTACGACTGTGCACGTACTGCATGCAGTGAAACCAAATCTGAAGCTGGACTTCCGAAGCTCAGCTCACGTGAACTGCTTGTTCTTATTCTGTGCATCTTTGACATCCAAGAAGTCACCTTAACTTGATGCTGCCTATAAGAACAAATCCTCTCGACTCAATCCCCACACGCAGAAGAGGTAAAAGAAAGAGGCGTATCCTTCGATCCTCCATTAGAAGATCTAAGGATAAAAGGAAGATGCAAAACATATGCGCTGGTAAGTAAAGCTCGACTGAGGAATCAAGACATGTAGGTTTGATGCTGTACATGCATGCATGCCTGTTCGCAGGGAAGTATTCATGGCCGGAGCTTCTCGGAGTTGAAGGGGAGAAGGCAGCGACCATCATCGAGTCGGAGAATCCAACGGTGAAGGCAAGGATCGTCGAGGACGGCAAGGTGGTCATCCAGGATTTCCGGTGTGACAGGGTGTGGGTTTGGGTGAACAAGCATGGGGTCGTTGCTCGGGTCCCTCACATTGGCTAAGCTTCACAGGAAAAAGGTTGAAGTAGAAGAAGAAGAAGAGGTGGCAGCAGAAGCATAATAATAAGTTGTGACAGTATCATATCGTGGGCTTTGTTGAATCCAAGACTCTGAAATCGATGTTGTTGCATCGTTTAATGTGTGTTGTGGTAGAACATCATCCACTCTACGTTCTTGAGGAAGAAGAACAAGTAATTTGGCCATGCATATCCAAGATAGAAAAGATCCAATGATAGAAAAAATTGATCTCATATGATTGATAAATGAGGGTAACATGATGGTTCATTGATCTCATAAGATCCCCTGTTCACAGTTGACCATTCAACAAAATGAGCTAGATTTCCACCTTTATCATGTCAAAATAAAGATTTCCATATGAGAAAGAAACATCATCCACTTTCATCATAAAGTTTCTGGAGACATATTATATGAGAAATGTAATCATCACCAGAACTACTGTTCACTGCAGGGCTCATAAGAGAGCCTTAGATAACATTTTCCAAGTTCCAAACAACATTAAACTAGATGGCATACTATTTTCTTCTCAAGAACAGCTTTGTTCATCATTATGTAAAAGCAAATCCAGGATTTCGCCACTCTCAACATCCCAGTTCTCCCCTTGTTGTTCAGAGTCTGACGGGTAATCAGGCATGGTAATGGCTCCTTGTCCTTCAGCTGATGATACAGTTCCAGGTAGTATACTACTACCTGCTCCACTTCTGTCATCAACACTGGAATATGCTCCTGTGGTCAGCATCCCACAGCTTCCATTAATGGTCTGACCATGGAATACACTTGTTCCACTGGTCCCTCCATGCAATGCTGCATGTTGCATCTGTTGTTGTTGAAGCTGGTCTTGAGTGTGCATCTGATCATGTAGCATTGCAGGTCGGGCAACCATCGAGATCTGAGAGTTCATCGGTTGACCTTGCTGAGTTTGCACGACAGCACTGGGACGAGACGGATGAGCTTGCCGAGACTGAAACACCCGAGGGACTGGTTCCACAGGAGCGTTGGCAGGATACAGTTGAGCTTGCTGGGGTTGCACAGCCACAGTGGAAGGAAAGACATGGGGAAGAAGAAACATTTCTTACCCTAATAAACTTACCATTCAAGTATGGAAACCCACAAACTAATCTGTAGAAGATTAAATTATCCTCTCAGTTACAAAGCATGATTCCTACCTGCGCTGCAGTTGGATGTTGAGGTGGTTGATTGTCTGTAAGAGCAGCGAGACAATCGAGGTTCTGCTGTAGCCTTTCAAGATTCCTGCAGCAGAGAGCAAATAGAAGAACTTGTAGATGGTATGCTAATGAGAATCTGGAAGGAACTCACTCATTACTTTGATCTGGTTATATTAATTCCACAGAAACTTGAAGAGGAAGGAGGAATTAACAAATAGAACAACCATACATAATGGCAAGAATGCAAGAAGCAAATCTAACAACAGAAATGACAGCAAAAAAAGAGTTCATTGGAATTTCTACTGCTGTTTTTGCTAAAAGTTTGGAACTGGTCATCAGTTATGATTTAGGAATTTGTACAGTGTTACAGAAGTACTTAGCAGATGATTGCAGAATCTACATAGCTCATGTTTGTCATGAATGCTCCTCGAGTTCAAACTTACCGAGCAGAATCCTCTAGCTTTCCTCGCTTCTGTTCATCAATATAGCACAAATCAAGCGTTCATTCTCATCAAGGTACTGCAGCAACAATAGCAGAGTGAGTCATAACAAAGAGATCAAGCAGGAAGAATGCCTCTATTTAAATTCCTCAAACTAAAGAAGATGAAAAGACATAGATAGAGGAAAGCAAACACATGAAAGAGTTCTTCAACAAAACTGAAACTTAATATTGTTACTTGATTTTACATACAACAGTAACAAGGCAAATATTCAATACCACTCCAAAATCTAATCCAAATGTGAAGATTATATATATACATACATATATATGAATTCCAAAAGGGAAAGGAAAAATAAAATAGAAAATAAACATCAATTAAGTTTTTATGTGAAACTTGCATAACACCATGAATTAATTATGTACCATAAATGGGACTACTACTGCAAAAATAGGAAAAGATTGATGTCCACATGAAGAACATTTAATGACCACATAAGTCAAAATAACAAGGCATGCATATTAAGGATAAATATACATGAAAATAACTTATAAAAAGAAAATGAGACTATAACGAAGAATATCACATGCTTGTCAAAGTGTGTTTGCGAATTTTAGTGTAAAGATAAGCAAAATTGAAGAGAAACAAAAGATTAATTCATTTAGACATAATGCTTGCAGTCCACGCACAATCAAGGAAGTTCATTCATAAGAGTAATTAGAAGAAGAAAAAGAAACAAAAATGATGAATAATTATAGGAATAGATTGCTCGAATAGCATGATGTAACAGTTATTATT